GGGGGGGGTAGTACTCACTCGTTTGTTTACTATTTTTCATTAATGGTACGATACAATACAAAAGTCTTGAGTCATCCACAACTTTACCGCGTACTTCTCTAAAAAATAACAAATTGTACTATTGGACTTTTGGATGGCATTACTTCAATGTGAAATAAGAAAGATCCTCCAAAATTGAAGAAAGATAAAGTTAGACTTGTACTTTAAGGAATCTCGAAAAATACTCTTTTTTCTAGAAAAAACAACACTTAAGTGGTGGTAACTTTTTTATGTTTGTTAAGCTAAATTCTAAAGATTTTGAACATTTTGGGGTGGGATTAGAATTATGTTAATGACTGATCTTGAAATTAGTTTCCGACAGAGCCCTAATGAATTTTGTCAAAAATTTTGTTCCCAATAGTTTTATTACTGCAATCGTCCCAGTAAACATTATTAAGTGCTAGAAAAAGGGGTTTTAGAATACCAGGAAATCCGTCCATCTAAAATTGGTGAGAGAATTTTTCACCAATTATAAGAAATTTCTCTTTAATGTGTATATTACAGTACTCAAAATGAACAAGAAGATGGTGAAAATGCAACTGGTAAGGAGAAAAGTGATGGAGACAAGACAAAAACTAGCACAAAGTCCAACGAACATATAGAAGTACTACTAAAGGTTTGTTACCTCTGAAATTTATCTTAGATTATCCGTTGTTTGGTAGTTTTTTAGTTCAACAGATAACTATTCCTGAAACTACAAGACTGATACTAACCTGTTCTATATGTTTTTAAATTCGATAGTAGTATTTGTGTGGTAGTTTTGTAGTTCAATTGACTACTATTCCAGAAACTACGAAATAAAGGTTAACCTGTTCTGTATTTTTTACTTTTTCAATAGCAGTATTTGTGTTGTAGTTTTTTAGTTTATTAGTAATCATCCTTGTAGTTTTTTAGTTCATCAAAAGTGGTATCTCTTTAGAGCGGGCGCACACCTTTGACTAATCAATCGCGTAATTGTGCAATAGTCGATTGTTTCGCAGCCAAGTTTTGCGATAGTGTAGTAACAGATGCGCCTACGCTCTGAATAGTTTTTTAGTTCATTAACATTAGTATCTGTTAAGTAGTTTTTTAGTCTGTGTTCATGTATTGAGGGTAGTTTGTTATGTTAGGACGGTCTGGCGTGCCGCGTATACTTCGCGCTGCAGTTTCACTCGCTGCGACACGCGGTTCTAGCCGCGCCCGCAACAACCCCCACACCCGCGCCCACAGCCCCCACCACCTGCTCCTGTCACACCAAGGAGAAGGATGGTAAATATCTCCTGTAATAGGGCAAATGCAATAAACTTAATGAGTTATGACTTATCCTTGAAGTATTAGGTATCCCCCACTTAACAGGTGAAGAAGTCGGTCCAAAACTATGTTCTGTAGCTCGCGGCTTTATCCTTAAGAAGGCTCTAGAAAGTCTAGAAAAAACCCTAAAATTTACTGCTGTTACTTGTCATTTTTCATATAATCAGTGACAAGACAACAAAATGAAATAGTAGAAGTGTTACTATATAACCTAAACCTTTATGGTATACTGTAATGTCTAATACTTAAAACAAGTATAAGTTGATTAATTCCGTTCAGGTAAGAATGTGTGCTCTGTGGAGGAAGGGTTCATACGTTCTCTGGCGCAGTGCGTGCCGTGGGCAGCGCGCGGCGGCAAGTCGGGCTCCACCTTCTGCAAGACGGAAGGTCAGTGGCAGCACACCTCACTGGCTCAGGGGTTTAAGCATTTCACTTGTAATTCACAGCTCCTAGGTTTGAATCCTACTTCCGTAGGGTTTTCGTCCTCCAAATAACTATCATCCGTCATCTCAGTCATCACTCCCTTCTTGAACATGTCACCTTTCACGCAATCCATCTCTTTCTACCACACACATAACTAACGTTCTCCTTGTTACATGCAATTCATCCTTTCTCATAACATGCACATATTAACAATTTCCTCTTTATTTTTTTACAACTGGGGCTACTCATGTACCAATGACTTTTGAATTTCATATAATTTACCCTACGTTCTTACGGTGAAGGAAAACATCGTGATGTCTGCACATCTGCGAAGACATTCAAAGACATGTGAAGTCAACTAAGTGCAGCATGGTTGACTATGTTCTAGTCATCCCTTAGGCTAGGCTCCGAGGCCCTCAGTGGGGATATAGTGAGCTGATGTGTTGCAGACGACCGCTACGTGCTGAAGGAGATGACGAAGCCGGAATGGCAGCAGTTCTTGGAGTTCGCACCTCATTACTTTGCCTACGTGAACTCCTGCCGACTCAGCAACCAGCCCAGCTTACTAGGTAAGGAATTTTGTAATAGAATGTACAAACGCAGAAAACCGGTTTTAATTAATAAAATTTGCCTTCCTTCTAGAAATGAGCTAAACTTCGCCTCTTTTTACCAATAACCAATTTATTTATTAAGCAGTGAGTTGCGTAAACAATGGAATAATAATAAAGCAAGCGGCCACCTGAATCCACCGAAATGGAAAGCGACCGCTGCCCATAGACATCCGCAATTGCAGATGCGTTGCCTACTCTTCATTGACGGAGGAGGAGACGCACATAAAGAGAACATTTCCCCTTCCTATGCGTCTCCTCCACCGTCAAATCCACTTTTACTTATCATTCTTTCCTCTTAAGAAAA